TGCAGGAGTAGTAGGACATTTTATGGCCCCGCAACAAAGTGGCGAAGGCCATATAGTTTTACCATTATCTGCCATTCTGTCATTCCCCAACAAACAGTTATATGGACTTTTTTTTATAAAACCTTCACGTATGGAGCTGATCTTTAGTATGTGAGTCTACTATGATGAGTTACAGATTTTGTTTACGGTTTGTTCTACTCCGCTAATTTTTGCAGATATTACGGGCTATGGACTGCGAAAATAACAGTTATATGGACATTTTTCTAAACGCCTTCATGTATTGAGGTTGTTTTATTATGTAAGTAATTATGATGACTTACAGATTGAGTTTACGTTTGGTTCAGCTTCACTAATCTTTGCCGAAATTATGGGCTATGGACTTTGAAAATTTAGTGAAAATAACAGTTATACAATTTTTTTTTCTAAACACCTTCACCTACAGAGCTGATAATTATTCATAAATTTCCACTCCTAAAAATTGCTTCAAGCTTTTTCTTTTGCAAGCGGGGCCATTCGTGTCGTTCCAACACACATCTAGTTTCTTTACTATTGTAACACAATAACACTTGTGAACACTATATTAATTTATTCCTCTGAGACTGTTTTAGGGAAAGTGTTCATACTCTGTAAAATTATTTGCCATCACGTGTAGTTGACCATATATTTACATTTCATTTTGATTTGACATTTTATGCTGGAGTAATTGGACTTTGACTTTCTTGATCTATGGCAGCATTCTCGCATCTTGTGGCTGTATTCCACATTAAACAGCCACATGTGGGGTACCTATTACTGCACAGTAGTTATCTTGCTTTATTTGCAACAATTAAGGAAAACTTGCTGATTATCATGAAAAATAAACTCATTTTGTAAAACATTGTGCAGAATGACTGTAGGTAACTTAAATAATGTGTATAGTGGCTGTTTTTTCACTATATACATGCATATAATTTTATGTGAAAAATCAACATTTGATTCCATCCACTCACCACAAAAAGACAAAAAAGCAACAACAAAATTTTGATAAAATATCTTATTGGGAGATTCAATTTTAAATGGAATGTCTGCTTTCCGAAAATGATTGTTTACATGTATGTTGTAGATAGTAATTCCCATTTCCATGGAAACATGTATCTGTGTTTCAGGAAGTAAAACTTTTATTGTTAATCATCCTATATAGAAATAAGAAGATGTGGTATGAGTGCCAATGAGACAACTCTGCATCCAAATCACAATGTGTAAAAAGTAAACAATTATAGTAGCACATATAACATGAACTAGAAAATTGGTCAATTTCAACTGCCTTAGATTATCCTTTATACAGAGCAAGATTTATCTGGTAGACAACTGATCTATTGCTATATCTGATTGAAAGTGAAATTATGATCACTGTTTTTTACCCTCTTATGTAACAATATCATCTAGCATACTTTTTATAAATTAATCGGTTAGTCTGCCACATTAGGTACATCTTGCTCTGATTGAACAGTCTGTCTGTGAACAATATGTAAGATAACTCTTGTCCCATTTTCGTGTTACATTAAAAGAAGAAAAGGTATTGAATAATTGTGCAATATGTATCAACCGAATATGAGTAAATAGGTTAAAAGTTTAAATTCTGGTGCTACACATTTTTTTTTTAACTGATAATAAAATCTGTATAGTACCAAAAACAATCTAGCCCAAATGAATTTTGACATCACCTAGCCAAATGTCCAACTTGTTCATTTCTTGGCCAAATGTCCCACTTTTTCATCACTGACCAATATGTCCCATATTTTCATCTCTTGGCTAAATGAGCTGCTTTTTCATCTATTTGCCAAATGTCCCACTTCTTCATCGCTTTGCCAAATGTCCCTCTTTTTCATCACTTGGTATCCTCATTTATTTCCACCTTTGTAAACTGTTTACTTTGCTTACCAAAAATTGCCACAACAGTCAAAAGTTTACTTTTTTTATTAGCCCAAACTTCAGACATCTTCTTTTTTCAAGAACTGCTAAATAATTGGCTGAGAAATTTTTTCTGATTGAAATTGACAGAATGGTGTTAGAGCTACTAACCAATATGGCTGCCTGCAGGGGGAATTGAATTAACATTTGAGTTCACAAAAGAATTTGTATAGATATGGGAAAATATGCTTCCTGAAACTTCTCAACCTACTGAAATCATACAAGACAAAGAGGATTCTTGTGTGGTACCAAAAGTTTGAGACCAATCAGGGCATACTAATAAATATGCAAGTGGGAGACTTTAAATGAGAAAGGAGCTCAGTGTGTGCACATGAAATATTACAATATATCAAAGGAAGGTTGTTTCATATTGATGTATTGTCTAATTTATATGTAGGTAGAAAAAAAAACTTCCTTGTTAAAATCTATGTAGGAAGTTACATAAAGGACTTTGGCAAAGCTTGTATTGAATTTGACTTAACTGTTTATGTTTCAAAGTATATACTAAAATATCAGGTTTATTTTCAAAGTTAATTAGATAAAAAATTATTGATTAATAATTATTAATTAAGAAAAACCTTAATGACCATTAAACGAGAGACGAAAGATACCAAAGGGATAATCAAACTCATAAGTTGAAAACAATCTGACAATGCCATGGCAAAAGATGGAAAACGATCTGACAATGCCATAGCAAAAGATGGAAAACGATCTGACAATGCCATAGCAAAAGATGGAAAACGATCTGACAATGCCATAGCAAAAGATGGAAAACGATCTGACAATTAATGCCATAGCAAAAGATGGAAAACGACCAAAAGACAAAGAACAGTATAAAAAACACCACATAGAAAACTAAAGACACCCAAAATCTGGTGGTGATCTCAGGTGCCAGGAAGTGTAAGCAGATCCTGCTCTACATGTGGCACCCATTGTGTTGCTCATGAAAGTTAAAAATGAAATGAAAACAGAAATTTAGTGCATTAGTTAAAAAAAGATGAAAAAAGAGGTAAATGACTGTTTCAGATTCGGTAACTCTTTTCTAACAGTAGTCACACATGATGGGAAGAATGAATGTTAAAATTTTAACAAGTTTATAAGGATTCAATATGAAGTTTGATGTTGTGTTGAAAGTTTTGTGAAGTTAATGCTACTGAATTCATCTGATTAGATAACGCCTGTGATAACAATTCTTTTTAGTGACAACACTGTGTGAAGTATTTATAAAACACCTGCATTTTCAAGGGCACCTGTTCTTTTGCTTCCTGGATGTGCCAATCAATTTTAAATGAATCGTAGAAAATTTGTCTGAGGGGTTTTGGTATATTAAATCTCATAAATTGTCTTAATCTGTGAGTTTATTTGTTAAAATCTGCCTGTTTTTATACTTTTGTTCATTTGTTGTCATGCTTTTGCTATAAATCAATTTTCCAGATGTCTTTTCTCTATTTTTTTGTTCAAGGTGAACTATTTAATAGGTTTGTTTTTTGAAGTATTGCTAAATACATTAAGATGATTTCAAAAGCCAGTATTATAAGTATGAATTAAAAAAAATATTTGTTTTAAGTTGATAATTGATAAGATGCTAGAGGCATACTGACATTACCAAGGTTAATTACGTTAGTCTTATGATTTTTACATCGCGATGACCGTGAGGGCATTCCAATATATTGCTATCGCCTAGATTTCCATTACGTAACTTTCGTTTTGGGTTTGTAACCGATCTATAAACATGATAAATACACGGATATTAACGAGTGCAAACTAACATTCCTTATCGTTTGTTATAAATACATCTCTTCAATGAATACTGATAAAAATATTTTTGTTTAGAACATAAATTAATAATATGAAAATGTTTTGTCGTTAGATATATATATATATATATATATATAAGTAAAAAATCATTGATAATATCTATGCACACGTACCGAAAAATTGTGTTAAAGCATGCGGAAGAATATCTTAAGAACGTTTTGCGACAATCCCGGCAAGGACTGGTAACTCTGTAATTGTTTTTGCAGGAAAATATGAATGCCTACTCATATCCAATCTTTTAGAGAAATCAAATTTTTACAGAAGAGTGTCCACCATGCACTTGCACTGCACTATTATTAGAATAGTTTAATAGAATGATATACAAATGGATGAAAATTATATATATATGTAACTGTTATATTAATATAATATATAACAACAAACCAGTGTATACTGATTTGTATCACTACAATATAATAGTTATTACGGTGAGGTTGAATTTCCTGTCATTTATTCATCATCCACGCACGAACTTGTCTCAGAAAAAAATATATCTCTGTACATTAACCTCAGTTTCAGGTATAGAGATGTGATTTTTTTCTGTGACAAGTGCTTTTGACCATCCACAAGAACTTGTGGTCATCCGATGTTCAGTACTTCAGTACTTTGATTACTATTAAGGGATATTTTCTTATGTCTTGCTTGTTCACATGTTACCTCTTTGGAAGGTCTGCTGGTTAGAAGAAAGATATAATTTTGCACAAATTTCTCTTTCATTTGCACCTCATGTTGTAACAATTTCGAAATTTGAATAAAATAATATGGGGGATAAACATTAATGAGGCAGCAAGTGAACAACACAATTTAAACAAAATGGATTTCTGCAGGTCACCATACAGCCATTAACAATGGACATGTGTTTACACTGTATGACAAGCTGTAAATCACTAGGACACTTACAAAATTATAAGCAGTCGATTTTTTTTAGTCTACAGAGACCTGTAATTACTGATATCTTTGTCATTTGAACTTTGGTGGATAGTTCTCTCATTGGCAATCCACATCTCCTTATTTTATATCTAAATCACCAGGATAAGTTGTGGATACATTACAGGGCCCAGCATCTCGTTTCACGAAAACTATTATTAGAAAAAAATTCTGTCATGTACATTTCAAATTACTTGCCATTTTAGTTGTAAGATTTTTTGTGAAAAGAACCCCAGGGTTTTAAGCATATAGTTATGCCCTTTGTTTTGATCTTATTATTTATGTTTTTATGTTTTATTTTACAGGGTATAAACAAGAATTATTATAGGAGATATATACATTTGATTTTGATAATTGGATTAAAATTATGTGACAACATATGGCCAATAAATTAAGGTAGGTGTTAAAAATATCATCTGATTTATATATACATGTATTATACTCCACTCCAAAAGAGGGAGAGTATACTGTTTAACCAATGTCTGGCGGTCTGTTCCATCAAATTACCATCACATTTTTCTCTGGAACTACAAATCAGAGCTCTATGAAATTTGGTATCAAGCTACATGTGAGCATGCTTTGCTGTGTGATGTGTTTTCACATTCATTGCTCATTATTCAACTTCCTGTTTACCTATTACTTATTCTTCTTCTTGCACATAATGGCCATGTATGAAATTCTTGTCACATTTTTCACAGGAACTAGGAATCAACGAGCTAGGTAGAGCATCTGAAAACTTGGTATGAACATTCATATGAGCATGTCTACTGTGCCATGCATTTTCAAATCCATTGCTCTTCAACTTCCTGTTTACCAAATACTTATAGCTTACATCCCAGCTCCTGTGTTCTACCAGGGGTGATCTGAGCCGGATCACCCCTACCAGATCACCCTAGCTTGAGTTTCTTTGTTCTGCATGCTTTCCTTTGTTCTGTAACATTTTGGCGGGAATGTCAAATTTATACTAAAACTTAGAAATATTTTTAAGGAAAAGACTAACTATCAAAATTTATGTTGAAAAATTCAGTGTCTATGCTGGGAATCGAACTCAAGACCTTTAGCATATAGACCCACGAGTCATACCCCCTACTCCAGCACGACTGGATACAAATCCATGTTAATTTAACATATTTAAACATTGCGTCCGGGGCTCATAAAGAGTATATACTATATAGTATTATATAAAGTATATAATAATGATTGTGTGGCGTTCTAAACTAGATTTTATGAAGCGTAAATGATTTTTTATCTAATCTAGAACAACTGGGATGTAAAATAGTTATCCCATTCGAACTTGGTGTGTCAGTGTTAGATCACCCTCTGGCCTTCGGCCATCGGGATGATCTTACACTGACACACCGTGTCCTCATGGGATGACTATTACAGATATATTATTAGTAAGTTACTGCTCACTGTTGAACTTGTTATCATTGTTTTGATAAATATATATGAAGGAATTTTTTTATGGTCATGTTATATGAGGTGAAATTGATTTTTCCTAGATATATAGTATATTTCTCATTATGAGACAATTACAGTTGTCTGAAAAAGTTGTAATATAGAATCTTGGAAAGCTGTATCAAGGAAGTCCTGAAATCACTGATGTTGGCTATTATCAGGTAAATGCACACTGGAAATATCTGTTAAAAAAAATCTTATCCAACTTCTGGAAAAAATTATTACCCTGAAGTTAAGAATGAAAGCAAAAGAGCACTTTTTGTGAAAAAAATAAAAAGGTTATTCTTAGAACAGTCTGGTTTATATATCATGAGGTACACATAGTGGAACAATATTATGTTGCCTAGAAGTTATCAATGGGATATTGTCAGCTGAGTAGACAACTTGAACGAGACATGTTTTTAATCCTCTTTCTAGTGCCTGTATCACTCTTCTAAGCTCTATGTAGAATTGCATATCATGGCTTTGTGACATCAAATATTCTTGACTATGAGGCTTAATGACTTTGACCCTGGCTTACCACAGATGCCATAATATTGATAAGTTGACCTCATTATCAGGTTTTCATCATTTTAATATTTAAAATATCAGCTGCAGCCTTTTTTATTTTAATGCTCTCAATCAGCAAAAAGTTCATGTCACTCACAGCTGATTTACAGAATCAATATGCAGAAAACTAATAATCTGTACATGTCATCTTTGGTAAATTTTATTCAATCCTGTTCATATTTTAAAATGTTTTTGATAAAAAAAAAATGGTCAAGTTTGATTTTTACGAATTTTACTTTTGCCATCCTTGATTGATAATTAGTTAATAAGACAGGGTTTCTGGTGACCATATGGAGGTCAAGCTTGAATATGACAATTTCTACTTATGTTGTTCAGGAGTCTTGACCCTTGATTTCTTTAACAATGAATGTAAGTAATCTGGTTAACTGTTAATTAGACAGACTCTTTTAAATCAGACTGTTAGTTTTCCCTTTTGAATTGTTTTACAATTTGTCATTATGGGGTCTTTTATAGCTTATTATACAATATAGTTTTTGCTTATTGTTGAAGGATTTACAATGACCTATAGGAGTTTACATCCTTGTTATTGGGTCTCTGGTGGATACTTATCTCATTAATTATTTATAGTATTTACCTCCCAATCATTACATTACATTAGTTGACAATAGACCATTAGAGAAGTATCCAATAATGAGGCTGGTGTCATTAGCCATATATACAATTACTTATCATCTAGTTGCTTGCCAAATTTTATAGAAATCCATGAGATCAACTATCACTTGTGCCCTTGAGGGCAAGCATCCTTGTCTTAGGCCCTGTTGTACTATCAACAAATTTTGATAGTGACAACTTGACATTTTAGACCATCATTTGGTTTACTGGTTATACTCTGTTATAGAGAATTTCTATAAATGGTGGAAAATTGTGAATTATAACATTTTATATTGATTTAATTAAATGATTGCAAGGCTTGTATAGTTATCTGTTTCTTGAAGAAATAGTATTTGATCAGAAGTCATTTAGTTGATTGGCATAACTGTTATGTTCAATTAAACATACAGTTTTGTGATGTAAAACGATTGTTAAAACAATTAGAGAAATAACCTATTTTACAGTTAAATATATGTCAGCAGCATGCACTCACAGGGAATATGACATCTACAATATGTTGTTTATCCAGTGCTTTATGGGTAGTCGATACAATTTTATTATTCTGGGTTGATTTAAAAATGGTCAACATTCTTTTTATCTGAGGTTAATTTTGATGTCATGGTAAGCATTTTATGCACTTTTAAGGAAGAAAATATTCTTATTGATTTAATAAAATAGGATTATATCATTAACATTTGGAATTTATAGAGTTTAACAGACAGCTTCCTGATGCAAAATAGATTTACAATCATTAACATAGTATCTGAATTCAGATGACGTTAAACTCAGACAGTTCACAAACAAATCAAAGAAAAAACAATACTATTACAAAGAACAATTTCTTGGGAAATTTGTTTTATGGATTACTCTGGTAATATACATTAATAGCAAGTCAAGAGTACTAGAGAACTTCGATAAGCATGCTCTTAACCCCTTTATTTTTTTTTTTAAACTATACAGAGAAACAATTTTGAAATCCATGCAGTTTACCAAGTGTGTTTTTTGTCTCACCTGCAGCAGATTAAGGCCACAGTAGTGAGACTTAATAATAATAATAATATTTGTAATAAATTCTTTATTTAAAGATGGAACTCAATTAAAACTTGTCTAATTTTCATTGAGGCCCTCAAACAAAATACATGTATGGAGTTTCACATTCATACATCAAAATGAAAATAAAATTGAGAATGGAAATGGGGAATGTGTCAAAGAGACAACAATCCGACCAAAGAGCAGAAAACAGCCGAAGGCCACCAATGGGTCTTCAACACAGCGAGAAAATCCAGCAACCGGAGGGGGGCTTCAGCTAGCCCCTAAACAAAAATGTGTACTAGCTCAGTGAAAATGGATGTCATACTAAACTCCAAAACATATAAATGAACTAAAATTAAAATCATACAAGACTAACAAAGGCCAGAGGCTCCTGACTTGGGACAGGCGCAAAAATGTGGCGGGGTTAAACATGTTTAGTGAGATCTCAACCCTCCCCCTATACCTCTAGCCAATGTAGAAAAAAAAACCACACAGCAATACGCACAGTAAAACTCAGTTTAAAAGAAGTCCGAGTCGGATGTCAGAATAGGTAACAAAAGAAACTAAACAAAATGACTACTAGCAGTTACTGACATGCCAGCTCCAGACTTTAATTAAACTGATTGAAAGATTATGTCTTCATCATATCAAAATCAAGCACAATCCCTCCCGTACCATACCATCATAAAATATATGAGAAGAACATAACCCATATCATGCCAACAACTGGTTTTAGAATAAATGTGTTTATTTCCGATGCATATATGAATCATTCATAGATCAAAATACAACACAGACATCTATATAAATCATTCATACATCAAATTGATGCATTGATGTCATCAACAAATTGTGATAAGTTATAAAGGGAAGACATATCACTGTGATGAAAGTTTATTTCAAAGATTATATATATGGTCATGAAGTCCTGTGTTATCAATTTGCAAAGTGTAAAATATTTCTATTGACTGATGATCAAAATATTATATCTTTCCAAGGCTTTTTATTGGCTACTTATTAAGGATGTTAGCTGCTCTGTTTAAAAAAACAAAAAAAAAATCTTTTCAAAAGACTGTTATAACTTGATAGTTTTTAAAAAAGATGAAAGGTTCGTGTCCTTTTTTTTGATATATAAGCCATTGAAAATTTGACAAGAAATGATGATCTCTAGACTTTTCATACATTTAACGTTGTCAAAATTGAAAAAAGTTATAATAATATAATGACAAGGATTTTATAAGATTTTCAAAAATTGGTTTTTAAACTAATAGTAATAAAAGTATGAAAAGAATTTTTGTTTTTTACAGGAAAATTTTCAAATGGCACTACATGGATAAAACCAGAGGATTCCAAATATTTGATAAAAAGTTTAAAAAAAAACAAGACCAGCCTTTAGTTTTACATTAAAGAAACTACATGCTTCTCTTTCAAGTACAACATCCAATGCTGTGTAGCAAAAAGTAGGTCACTATGACCTGCATGTTATGTTTCAGTAAAATTGGTCAAGTTTTTCAAGCGTCTTTGACACAATGGGTTCAAAGTGATACATATAATAAACGATTTTATTAGCTGTTTGAACCAGTTGATCTGAAAAAGAAATCTGGTTAATTCTGGTTTTCAACTTGGTCACTATTTGGTTCAGGAGTGGTGCCTGAAAAAAGGAAAATCATCAAAACTTATGGTTTCCTGTGCGTTTTGAATACAAACATTGATATTTTCATAATTAAGTACTAAAGATAAATGAG